AAACTAAGCGTGGAATAATTGTTTTAATTGTTGTCATGTTTGAACAGAGTTCGCTGACAAGTTGATGAACCAGGAGAAAGCTACTCCTGTTAATAAATTAGGGAAAAGCCTCATTTTATGGTAATTAGTTACATCACCACTTTGCAATGTGAATCGACCTATGTGTTCTAGAGTAGACACATCTCCTAAACCGGTAAACAGTGAGAATTCTGGCACTTTATACCCTCTAGGCCATGGATATGCTTGGTCTACCCAATCAGGATATGGCTTTGTGTAAGCCGGCCTAATGACAAGACGCACCCCAAAAGCCATCTGATCCTGTATGATTTTCATAATCTGATTCCTCAACATGACGTTGGGGTCATATGAAATTCCTACAGGTTGGTTAACCGGTTGATTTGCATGAGGCCTGATATTTGGTCCTTGGTTGGCAACAAAGTTACTATGATTTGGGCCATTACCATGAGCCTGAACATCTATTCTCTCATTAACATGTAAGGTATTCTGTCAATTGTTTAGGACATTATCTCTTACATTTGGGTTACCCCCAAGTTAGGCGTACCACTACCATTGTTCTGATTTGGCACTGCACCATCCCCTTGGTTTGAAGTAGAGGGACTAGAAAGTGGTTCTACCCCTTGATTCGGATTTAGGACTGGGAGATTATATCCCACAGTTGTCCTAATTTGAAAGTGGTTTGCAAGAGGCAAAATCGGTTGACATATTTGGCCTACTAACTTATTCATTATTTCGTTCAAAGTGTTTAGTTGTTTGGCCATGTTGTCATAATGTGCATTCCCATTTTGAGTAAATTTTTCCATATTATAAATATTTCGAAGATTTACCTGTTCAACAACATCTTGTGTGAGTTCTCCAAATAGTGCACGCATAGTTAGAGGACTCAACTCTGTCATTGGTTCGTAACGACTGTTACTGTTCTGATTCTGTCCATCTGCTCGTAGAGAGGCATGCTGCTCCTCATATCACTCGATCACAGACTGGACTCCTCCCTGACTTGCTGCTTCCTTATCGGATCTCTGAGGCATATTGTTTCACCTTTTGTATTTTCAACACCAAACACCACTGTCCCACCGGGCGTGCCAAATTGTTTCGCGCGAGTTCGTCGCTAACAATTAAAAAGGGATCAGACGATTGTGTAAGGGACAAACCTCTTGAAACAAAGTCCCAAAAAGGGGTGTTCTTTATTGACGATGTCTTTACAATCGAAAAGTAAAAACAGAATGCCTCCAAGGGGCGCAAGCACACGAGTTACTGAAAGAAGTGTTTAAATCTAAACTAAGAAATTTAAAATTACATGTTCTCTGTTCGAGAGTTTTTTGATTCGGGCCTTTTGCTCTATGTCTTTTCTTCCTTTTATACTGCCTGGATGATCTCTTTGTGATCAACCGCCTAAAAACTGCTTGATCGTTCTATAACTGCACACTTTCCTCGTAATGGCCAACTTGTCATGGAACTGCCTTTTTTAACTGCTGCCATTACTCTTTGTCGTTCCACCGTTTTCGATTGAATTCCTTGAATCGTTGAATGTGATAGGGCTGCTTAATAACTGCTTTGATAACTGCGCTTCTTGATAACCATAACACTTCATGTTTGCTAAGACTTTGGGCGATTCGAAGGTTTCGACGAGAATAGAGTAGAAGCTCTGGACGATTGCATGGCATTCAATTCGCTCAGATCCTGGGCGACTTGCAAGCTTGGGAGATGGTGTTACCACGTTCACGGGCCTCCCTATTTGGGCCTTCATCCTGAATCGTCTGATTGGACTTCATTCTTTGGACTATTTGATTTGGAGATCCTCCAATTGAGCTTCATTCCTTGGACCGTTCGATTTGGGCTGAATTTTTATGTGTCAACACTTTTTATTTCATTTTTGTAAAACAGAATCTGCTTTGCAACAATGTGATTCAATTTTCAATGGCTAAAATGAACTGCTATTAAATTGCTATTTGAGATACTTCCAATCATTATCACTTCGGACAAATAGTGCACGAAGTTTTTTGAATCTATCAGAAGGGGAAAAAAATAGTAGTTTGTCTAAAATTCACCTTTATCACTTTAGGTAAATAATAAACAAACGCATAATCATAATTCGAATAAGAGACATTTTCCATATTTATTAGCAAGATCAAACACATGAACTGGACAATTGATCAAAAAAAAAAAAATTAAAAAAAAATAAAAAAAAGGAAAAAAAAAAAAAAAAAAAAAAGAAGGGAAAACATAGCAATATGACATGCGTTAGAACAAACTTGAGGTTTGTTCAGCAAATTCAAGATTTCACCTACTAATTAATCAAATACTGAAAATTCGATTTTATCAAGTGAAAAATTGTCATTTCACTAATCAAACTAGTATTTATGTATAATTAAGTTCAAAATTCCATTCGGTTGGAAGGGGATGTGGTTAGGGTTCATATACATTTGTATTTGATTTAGAGGTTGAACTTGGAGGCTTTTAAAAAAAAAAAAAAATTGTTTAGAGTAGACGATTTGTCTGGGAACGACATTTCATCTAAGTGGCAATTTCATTAACGTCGTGTTTGTCACGATGAATTTTAACGTTGTCACATTGACCTTTTACCTTGACATTGTTAACGAAATGATCGAATGTGAAGTACTTCAAACTTCAGTGACCATTATTATAAGAAAATAACTTCAATTACAATTTTAACATTTTTATAAAACTTCAATGACCATCGCTGAAATTAACCCTTCCAAAGATATTCCAACACCAAAAAGCAAAAAAAAAATAATAATAAAAAATTAAAAAACAGCGTTTACAATATACAGATTAATGATTATTCTGAAAATGTATTCAAGGAACCCATGTTCTCCTAATTACAACCCAAAGTTGCAAAATAATTTGATTTATTCCTTCTTTCATTGACTTCGTAGGATTTAAATACAAATAAATAAATAAATAAATAAATACAAAATTTCTCCTAAAACTAAATAACTAAAATTTACTCACTGATGCTAACTTATAGTTCAAAGAGGACTTCTCTCACTACCACTAAACAATCTATCTAAATTATAAATAATTAAAAATAATAAGTTAAAAATGAATAATCCTTATCGATCTTATAAAATAATTTAATAAAAATATTCATAATTTAAACACTTACCAAAGACCTAAACTTGTGGTAAACACCAAGCAATCTTTGTTGTTTTAAAGCAAGTTCAACGCCATCGGATTGTTGACCAAAATTCACACTACAAAAAAAAAAATAAATAAATAAATAAATAAAAAAAATTAACATAGATAAACCCAATCATTTAATTGACCAGACCAATTATTGCATAAGTAGTTTTAAAAAATCTGATGGTGGGTTTGACTTTTCTTCAATTTTTAGATCCACATCACCATTTACGTCATGTTTGAATCCCATTTTTCTGGTAAAATATATTTTGAAATAATAATTTTTTAAAAAATACATAAGTAAAAAAAAAATGTTTTTTGAAAATAAATAGAGGTCTGGACTTTCCCTGTCTAGGAGCAATTTTTGGGAAGATAATCAATTTTTGTGTCATGGCCCACACACGTTAAAGATAAAGCTGTTGTGCCATTTTTCTATTTACGGTACATAACTTACAAAATATTCTAAAAGTCCATAATACTCGGAGGGAGGAAATGAATTCACGACAATTGTCTAGAAGTCATGTACCGTAAATAGAAAAATGGCATAGCAGCTTTATCTTTAACATGTGCGGGGCCCAAGAATTTACACGAAAATTGATTTTCTTCCCAAGATTTGCTCGACTAAAAGAGCTTTCTACGAAAGAATTTTTAAACAAGATAATATTGTACCAGTTTCACTCGAGAGCTATTCTAATTAAAAGAGTTATTTTTATAAAATTAATCAAACTTTTTTAAAAGTAACTTTTATGTCTCAAAAGATCAATATACCTTCTCAAAAGTCATTACCAAACAGGCGCAGCATAATAATTATGCTGCAACTCAAAGCCTATTATAAATTGCATTGGTGCAAATAAGGTAATATCCTTAACAACGCTTTAATCACATTAATTAACGTCCATAAAATCCTCATCTTTTCACGTCAGCAATCCACCTGCCCTGCACTGCACACTGACTGACAAGTTTTGCCACCCATAAATGTGCCTATCCTTAAGATTCTTTCGTTAGGAGTGTATTCAATTGTGATTTTTAAAGATTTTTGGAGACTTTTTTAAGTGGGTGACTTTTGTGAACTTTGTGAAATTTTAAGTAATTTTTATGGATTTGGTAGAAATTAGTAAAAGTTTTTCCTGAATTTGTGGAGACTTTTACTAAAGACTTTTAGGGGGGTGTATTCAATTGAGATTTTTAAAAACTTTTGAAAACTTTTTTAAGTGGGTGACTTTTGTGGACTTTGTGAAATTTTAAGTAATTTTTATGGATTTGGTAGGAATTAGTAAAAGTTTTTCCTGAATTTGTGGAGATTTTTACTAAAGACTTTTAAAGACTTTTGAGGATTTTTTTTTTTAAAGGAAATATGCTTTTCACAGTGTTAAATGTGAGATATCGAGAAATATTTATGAAAATTCAGAACATTCACTTAAAAATGAATCTTTGAAATTAGAGGGAGAGATAGAGATCAACTAGTGAAAATTTACCATAATCTGATTTGAAGAAAACTCATAGCAAAGATTCAAAAAAATACCTAATTGGAAGAGATAGAGGAAAAACCTAGAGGGAAATAAGAATAGCATACTCTTTTTAGAAATCCCTCTATGAATGAGAGATTTTGGGAAAAAAATTTTATTTATATTTTCTATTAAAAAGTTTATGAAAGTCCAAAAAATTTTAAATTCCCTGAAAGTCCCTCTAAATTAAATACCCAAAAATTTATAGAGACTTCTAAAAAACTTCAATTGAATACCCCGTAACTTCTAGAGACTTTTTATAAAAGTCTTTATTCAATACACCCAAACTTTTAAAGAAAATTTCAATTGAATACATCAAGTCTTTAAAATTCTCGATTAAATACACCCCCTAACCTTCACTTCTCCTCTAACGTTAAAGAAAATCCGAGAAAGAACGATGGAGAAATCTGGGTATGGCCGTGATGGGATTTACAGATCCTTAAGGCCGCCACTGGTGCTCCCCAAAGACCCCAACCTCTCTATGGTCTCATTTCTCTTCAGAAACATTTCTTCTTTTCCTGATAAACCTGCACTCATTGATTTTCACACCGGCCAAACCTTAACTTTCATCGAATTCAAATCCGTAGTTTCCAAGGTTTCTTATGGTCTCCTCCAATTGGGAATCAAGAAAAAAGACGTGGTTCTCATTTACTCCCCTAATTCAATCCAGTTCCCAATTTGTGTTTTTGGAATCGTCGGGATAGGAGCCATTGCCACCACTGTGAATCCCATTTACACTGTTTCAGAACTATCCAAACAGGTCCATGATTGCAAGCCTAAGGTTATCATCACCGTCCAAGAATTATTGCCAAAAGTGAAAGATTTTAATCTGCCAGTTATTCTATTGGGCACAGATAAAAAGCCATTAGAACCCATTGGAAAGATTCCTAGTATCAAATTATTTACTGAACTAGTAAATAATGAAGGGTCAGTGGATTTGGATAATAGGATTAAGCAAAATGATACGGCGGTATTGCTGTACTCATCAGGAACCACTGGCACAAGCAAGGGCGTAATACTTAGTCATAGGAATTTCATCGCTGCGTCTCTAATGGTTACTGCTGATCAAGAGTGGGCTGGAGAAATAAACAATGTGTTTTTGTGTGTTCTGCCAATGTTTCATGTATTTGGGCTGGCAGTAATCATGTATTCACAGCTGCAGCGTGGCAATTCGGTTGTGTCAATGGCAAAATTCGATTTCGAAATGATTTTGAAGGCAATTGAAAAATATAAGGTGACACATCTCTGGGTTGTGCCACCAATTATGCTGGCATTGGCAAAAAATAGTGTGATCAAGAAGTATGATTTGTCCTCTTTAAAGCAGATTGGGTCCGGCGCTGCCCCTCTTGGGACTGACTTGATGAAAGAATGTGCTAAGAATTTCCCTCAGGCTATCGTTTTGCAGGTAAAATTTTTAAGCCAATTCTTCTTTTCATTTGGTTTTTTACACTTTTAGGTAAGGAAGAACAAGTTATGGAAGAGATAATAAAAATCTTAGGGAAGAAAGCATCCTCAAAGTTAACATCAATTGCTGATAAGTCAGATATGGATAATTACTTTTGTGTAGCTCCTTCACCTAGCTCTTGTCTCTTGTATTGAAAGTATGGAGAAAGACAAGTAGCCTTTATCATCTTGTAATGGGTCACTATACAATCATTCCTTAAATATATATTGCACATATACAATTGTCAACCAAAGAAAAGAAGTCCATAAAGGTTCTATAAAATTTTCGAATTTCCTATATTAAATACAGAAGGAAGGAACAAAAAAGAGAAAAAGGGAGATATACTCGCTTTTCAATGTCCAAATATACCAATTATGGAGATTTACTAGACACCAAATACTGAGACCCAAGACTATACTTCTGTTTGCATAACAAAAATGTTGCATATTTCATTGATAAACATAATATGGGTTGATTAGAAAGGGTAAACATATAATAGATTCTGGCAGTTGAATCCAATATTTTGGTCATATTGGCCTCTCATTTGTTAAGAGCTCATGTATATGATCTATTAGTACTTGTGAAGGTGAATTCCTTGTGTTTATGATTTTTACATGTTTGCACTTGATGTTCAGGTTATTTCAACAATCCACAGGCCACTAGACTCACTATAGATAAACAGGGATGGGTACATACTGGAGATATTGGATACTTTGATGAAGACGGTCAACTATATGTCGTGGACCGTATAAAAGAACTCATCAAGTACAAAGGTTTTCAGGTAAGTTACTCTTAAGAAATGATTAGTGCATAGCTATTTTTATAACCTACACCCACTTACAAATGCTGATACTTGTAAGCTATGTTGATTCAATTATACACCCTTGCTCTGATTTTCTTTCTGGCCTTGCTCTTCTTATTCAGCATTCAAGACTACTTGGTGAAATTTGTAACTTTAATCTATTATGATATTGGTTGATGATCAAATTGGACCTGAACAGAAACTTCTTCAATAATGTCCATATAGTTCTTCCTCAAGTAATTAATTTTTATTCTTTGGTTTGAGATTTCAAGTGGTGCTAAACAAGTACCTTTTGATCTCATTATGTGATGGCATTTCCTCATAATGTTTTTCCAGTAGCTATACTTTTGACCTCTATAAGGTCATGTACATAAATTTTTCAACTTCATGTGATATAACCTTTACATTCAACTACAGCATGCAGTTCTTTGTGCCATACTTTTGATGTTGGTAAGTGATCACTTAAATTATAAGCAATGAGTTGTTGCCGGCAACATTTTGGACAACAAATCCTTAGAAAAATGATTCCATACTTTGTACATTGGAATTTCACTCTCTAGGTGCAGCTGTTCCTACAGCCCATAGATAGTCTTATATCTATTTTGCAAATTGACGTCCATTTTCAAGGTGGCACTAGTCTAATGGATCTCTTGATGGCTTTTTATGCTTTAGAGTTCCCATTTCTGTTAGTAGGAGATATTGCATGGTCTAATTGTGGATGATATATGTAATTAGTCTGTAATTATTGTACATTACCTTTTCCTTTCTTCCTTTCTTAGTTAGGCGTGATTATTGTAATGGCTAATATTCAGCCTGTTGGGAATCTACTTCTCATGCGCGGTGGAAAAATAAAACAGATTTAAATTCCCACCAAGAATCTCTTTGTGTTTAGATAGAAACTGTGATAGAGATTGTACCTTTTTTCGAGATCTGCAAACTCCTTTGCTATTCTTTGGTTCCAACCATCTTGATTTGTCACCCACAGCTATCCAATTATCCAGCTTCTAATGCAAATTCACACAGAGAACAAGATTGTAGAAATTAGGATTTTCTCCTCTTGTGCTAGCAAGAATGAAAAATTCCTACAAATTGAAAACCCTAATAACTTATTTATATAAGTCCAAATGGATTTGACCTGACTTGGTCCGATATTTAATCAACTAATTTAATTAAATTCAGTCGATGAATTAATTAATCTAATTAATTAATTCGAGTCTATAAATAAGCAACCTAATTAATTAATTTATCCAACGCTTGTTAAATTAATTAATTCACAAATCACAATCTTTTAGTTCTCATTTTGTGTACGACCCATTAGGTTCCCGATCATGATGCCTAACGATGTGAAATATTATTTTGATCTAATCAAAATTGATAGATTAAAACACCCTTTTAATTTATCTCCTACACACAGTCGTCGTCCCAGATTGACCTCTAACAATGTGTCAGGGCAATAAATGTGACGAAAAATGTCATGTGGTATGATAAAACCAAACTCGTTCGTTTATCATGAAACTATAGTCCCTTCGTCAATATGATCCGATCAATTACGAGATATGAAAGTGTGTAAATCTCGATTATTGATCATATATTTCATTCCACTATTAAGTTAAGTCGAAAACTCATTTTCAACTCATGAGTACACATTGGCCAAGGATTTCGTTATCAACTTAATTGAATGAAATGCAGATCATAATCTTTTACTATCTAAGAGTGGCAAACTCTCTATTGGTAATTCACAACATTCATACAATTTTTGACATACCCGAATGACGTCGTATCAGCGACCCTTGACATAGTAACATCCAACACCATCAAAGCATGACTGTCCTCATATAAGATACTATGACGACATCAAGTCAAATGATCAATTTCACTACCGAACGTTAGAGATTAACCATTGACACTTAAATAGTTATCCAGGTGGAATCTCTCAGCGTGTCTCCAATGTTTTGTTCTATAACA